AGCTCCGACTGTTCAGCACCATGTGAAGACAGTCGTGGGCAAGGACAAGTCGGAACAAGATGAATGCCACTGCCCAGAGCACAGACGGAGGATGGGATACCAGCAGTGACGTTTGAGATTGCTCAGACTTGCCACATGTCAGTGTGTTTCAGGACGGGAAGAGAAGTCAGACTTTCCTCTCTCTGTGAAAATGCTGAGCCTGTATGTTTGAAATCTTAGCGTGTCAATAGCATGTAACGATTATAAAGACAGCGGGGACCATGTTTTATTCCACCTCCATATTTAGGTAACTGTGAGTTTTGATTTGATTCAAGCGAACGATGAGTCAGCCGCGTCACACTCCGCTGAGTCATGAGAGCTGCTGCTCGTGATGTTTGCGTGATGAGAGACAGGAGCGATGGATGGAAGCAGCTCATTCATGCAGAGGAGGTTAAATAGGAGGAGCCTGAGACGGAGAGGACGGTGTTTGACGCTGACATCAAACCGAAGCAAGCGTGTGTAACTGTCAGTCCCATCTGTCAATCATGGCGTCTCATCACATAACTAATTAAAACTTGTCCTGAAACTTAAAATGAAGTCACGTTTGGCTTCACAAGTAGGAAAATGTTTTGTGGGCGGGCGCGCATGAGTGCATGAGTGAGAGATAACGAGAGAGAGATAAAGAGAGAGAGAGATAAAGAGATAAACTGGAGTTCCGTACATCATGTGAGTGGAAGTTGTTCCCACGCTCCTGGGACAAACCGGAGCGAGCAAACTGTAGTTCCTGGTCGCTTCTTCGGGGCATCTTGATTTGTCCATGAGTTCGAATCCCCAGGTGACGGAGCAGACATATTCCCCCGGGGACGATTCTCTCTGCTGATGTTTTGCTGCTCCGTGTATTTCAGGGGAACTGTTTGTGATTCTTTTTTTGAGTTGTGTATTTGACTTCACAGGAATCCAGACTTAATTTAAGCTGCATGATTTATGAATCCTCGTTAGCGGCTACATGTTGCTCTTCAATCTTTTGGATGGAGGAGGGAGAGTGTTGATTTTACTGGAAGAGCAGTGAGGTCATTTATTTTATTGACCCTGGATTCATGTTTAAGTTTTGCCTGCCATTGATACGGTCAATATTTACATAAATACAGTAGCTGGACGCGGCTGTGTGTGTGGCGGCTGTGGCTCAGGAGGTGATTCATGTTGTCCGCTAACCAGAGGTCAGTGGTTCAACCCCAGTCTCCTCCATCCAGTGCAGTTTCCTAGGAAAGATACTGAAGCCCTGAAGGCTGAACCCTGTTCCACATTTATTTATTGATTACAATTTTGAGGGGAGAGTAATATTATTGCCTTACCTCAGGTTATCATAAACAGGTTTTTAATTAGCTCTTTATTCATCTTAAATATTTCAATATGTCTGGCAGGTTCCAGTTTCCCTTTTGTGCTCATGCCATTATTTATTATTGTAAATATATGATGGTTTAATTTGGGATACATGATTAAATGAGTGCTGTACCTCAACGACCCATTAATGAGATATATGATTCGAGCGAGGAGATTGTTTTGAAAGCAAATCAGTTCCAGGGAAAAGACCGTTTGGCCGCACTGAATCGTTCTGGAGACTTGGATCAGGTTTCATATCAAGAAATGTTCCTCGGGAACACATTAGACCTCAACTTCCCTTCTCTCCTCTGCTCCCCTGTCGTCTCAATGGGCCCACAGCCGCACTTCCAGGAAGAGGAAATGGAAAATAGTGCGTGCGGTCGGTCGAGATGCAGTCAGGCGCCGAGTCTTTTTTGGCAAACGTGCGACGCTTGAGGCAAGGTTGAACCTAAAGTGGCCCATGAACGGTGAATATGGCCCAAATGGCACAAAAGTAATTTGGGTCACCTCTGGCTGACATGTGGTTCTGCTGCGGCTTCTTCGTGACCTAGTTCTGGCAAACGGGAGCGGACAGCCCCCAGTGCCATCATTCCACGCGGTCTATGGGCCGGACGACAGTGTGGCAGGGCGACAGTTACTATCAATCCTCTGGGCTCAAGAAAACAAATCGCTGTGCACAAAACGACTTTACAGCGTGGAGAAATATCTTGATCCCATTTTCAGTACTAGCAGCTGTCTTATCAAACCTCACCTCCCTCAGACGCTGAACAAGTCACGTATGTAAGAACCGAAGAGCACGACATTCATAGTTAAAATGTCTGCGCTGCCGTAATTATGAGGTTTTCAACAGCTCAATCCTGGAATGTTTTTTGGGCCCGTTTCTTTTACAGAAATGCAGAAAATGGAGCGAAACAAACAAACCGTGACCGAGTCCGACCAGCCGGTTGTTTTCTTCTGCTGCTGTGGAAACTGTCCCACCGACGAGGGCCTGTCACACAACAAGCATTGTGTTAGACAAACTGAGTGACATGTAGGTTAAGTGAAAAATGTGCAACTGGGGGAATCGGCCTTTGAGTTAAAACCACAAAATCTGGAAGTGTTGCAAACATGAAGACCCCGCAGGAGCACACAGCTTTTCCCATGAAGCTCAGCGCTGCTGTTGAACTGGGTCGATTGTTGATGAGCCCAAGGCAGTGCCACTCCGCTCGCAGATTCCTGTGTAATGAAGGAGGCGTCTACACTCAGACAAGTCTTTGAGGTGTCTCTGCCAGGTGAGAGTGGTTTTCTGCGAAGCTGGAACATTTGTTTGAGTCGGTGAACCGAATGTTGTCGTCCAGCGCAGCGAACAACACAAATCCTCTCGTAAAACTTATTTACAGCTGTTTTGCTGTGTGGTTTCCAGTTTTATGATGTGTCCCTTTGGTGCAAATTAAAATATGCAATCAGCATGGCTGCACGAGTAAATAGCATCCATGTGTAGTAACGAGACAGAGGCGAAGGCTGAGGATCTCAAAGGAGCACTTTTCCTCTGCCACGCTGAGAGGCCGTGCAGCGTGAGCCAGCGGTGGTGTGTCCAGGACCGTGTCTGCAGACGGACAACAGCACACGCAGATGTGGAAAAAGTCCCTTTGCAGCCAAATGAATCAGACACTTAAACATATGTTCTTTGATTCAAACGTGTCAGTTCGACACTTTTAATGGAAACTGTTTCTGTCTGCATCAGGTCAGCAAGATAGCAAGATAAAATACTTTGCGTTGCTTTTCCAGTCTTTATCAGAACTGTACAAACACTCCATTGCACATATCTAATATTCATATTGTACATATCCTTTTAAGTGTTTACGGTGTCTATTTTCAGATTTTTATTTTTATGCTCAGCACATACGACGGAAAATTCCTGTATGTGCAAAACCTCTCAAACCCACTTTACCTCCTGAGCCACACTTTCAAATCTTTTTTGCGTTGTGTTACTAAAGAAAATAGAGACTTTTATGTCTTTCAACGCTTCCGTTGCCGAAGCTGTGTCACTAAAACATGACCCATGAGATATATTCGGTTTTCCTCTCTGGCAGAGTCTCAGGCCTTCTAACTGACTTCCTGCCTTTCAGTCCTGATGGCGTCTCCTCTCAATAGGTCACTCGCCCAGATGCTGCTTTTCCTTTCATGAGCTCCGGCTGGTTCTTCGCTTCAGCCAGATCAGGTGTTGATTTAATCCAGGCTCTCAGTGTTTTATAGCACAACAGACGGAGATGCATTAACCTGGGCTAACAGCGCCGCAGCTCCACTTGTTCCTAACAACACTCTGGTTGACTCCTTACGCAACTGCGTGTAGGAACAGGCGCACAGGCAATCTACAATCTGGACTTGAATGTGCGCTTTCAAAACACTTTTTTGAGACAATCTTTTTTTCATTAAAGTGTGCTGGCACACACACACACACACACACACACACACACACACACACACATGCCATGAGTAGATGCACACAGGCCCAGTCCATGCATCGCTGCCCTGCCAGTCAGGGTGGACGGACTGTGTTCCAACACACAGGTGCAGAGTGTGTGCACGGACAAAGAGCTGCATTGTGTGTACAGATCTTTTCTACATGTTATTTTGGTTATACTGTTTGGACATGTGGGGACAGTGAAATAAGAAGCCCACTCACTGGAGGAGGAATTTCAGATGAATGCAGAGATATGCCAGAGAAGTGATGATGGGAATCTGATGTGGCACTGATCCGTGTATTCATTCTCCCTGTGCTGATCATGATTCTTGTTTAGAGGAGTTTGCTTTTCCTCCCTCGGGTGAGACCAGGAGCATTGGACCCCCAGCCCCCCCCCCCCCCCCGGCAGCACCGGCAGCAGCGGCCCGGTAGGTCTCCTGAAGAACTGGAAAACCATTTGCATTCGCAGCTGCAGCTGCACACTGTGAGAGATGTTTGCAGTGGCATGAGCACAGCTGGTTCCCATTGATGAGAGCTGACCACAGGCCCTCTGAGGTTTGTAGAGATGAGGCTCGATGGAGCAGTTTTCATTTCAAAACAATTAACAGACATCAGATGCGTCTCCAGAGCTGTAAAACGTACAAGTAGTTCATGTAAAACAGCTTCAAACACCAACATCAGCCTTTACACTGAAGAGTCCAATCTGGCACTGATCAGTCGGGCTTTATGTTATTTGTGATTGAGGTGTTTTGACATGAAGTCATACATATTTGAGTTTAAAACTGTAATCACTGCTCATAAAAGTAAATCTTTAAATGGGTGTTTTCCTGGAGCCTCAGGCAGGTCTGCGTGTTTGATTTGAAACCCTACAGGTTGTTGTTATTACGGGCTCAATATTTAAGAGCTGCATCCTCTGGCCGGTTTGTGAGGTGGAGGCAGGACTTTAAATATTCATACTCCACTCTGGGATTTCTCTGAGTGGCTCTTTCACTCTGCTCATCCGCTGCTGCCTGGAAATCATGTTTTTTCACTGAGTGAGACACCCAGAGGGAATGCGAGCGCGGTGCAGCGTATATAAAAGCGGCTGCAGACAGCAGGAGCAGAGGACATGCTTGTGCAACATAACGGAAGGAGGCTGATCGCCAGCAAGAGAAGAGTTTCTGCACAGTGTGTGTTGCATAATGAGGACACAGTTCAGGTGAAGTCTTAAGTCTAAAAGGAGGACGTGACGAGCAACCTCATCTGTGTCAAAGCTTCAGTTATGAGTCATTGTCTTCATCAAACTGGTCGTGATTGTCTCCATGGATTTCTCATTCCAAAGGTAGGTCATTGATCTTTTATCTGATTTAAAACAGGCTGTTCTCCGAAGAGATTCATTTATTTTTCACAATGTTGAAAGTTAGGAAATAGAGGAACGCCCACTTTAAAACATAAAAAAATGTGGAGTTAGCTGTGAAATGTTCCTTTAATCAACAGATGAACAGTGATCATTCCTTAGTGTCGTGATGACACATGTGATTTATGGCTCATTTGTTCAACAGCTTCAGTTCAGAGCCGCTGTCTTAATCGCAGTGTTATTGAACATTATTCCAAAGGCAGAATAAATATCTTTAACTGATTCAAAACACAAAGGTTTTGCCCTGGAGCTATCTTTCTGAGTTTTTATTCATTATTGGAGCGTTAAAATGTTGGAAAATAGAAATATCTTCAAGAACGCCCACTTCAAAACATGAAAACGTTTCAAAGAAAATGGAAAAAAAGTTGTCATAGAGTCAAAAATGTGATCGCTGGAAGAGAAATACTCCTGCACCCTGCACAGACTGAGAGAGATAATGCCTGAGTGTCATTATTACACATGTATCATCATGTATTATCCCCATTAATCACTAATTCACACATTCTATCAGGCTTTTAACAACTATGTCGAAAATGTGGTGACACGTACCAAATACTGAATTAGTTAAAAGAGATTAATATTAAAAAAAATAACATGTAGGTTTTGAAAAAGTGTTAAAAATCAGCACATGAGAACATGTTTGCAGTATTTTATCATTTCTGAAATAACTGACAGTCATGAGATCATATGTTGAACATGTGAAGTTGACTGATAACGCACATGCAGACTCAGTGGATGTAAATAAACGCTGGATTTATCCCCCTACGCCCTCTGCACGTATGCCGGGTTGTGATCTGGATTTAATGATTTCATGCAGTGACGGCGTCCTCGCTGCTGCTGCTGCTGCTGCTGCTGCTGCTGCTGCTGCTGCTGCTGCTGCTGCTGCTGCTGCTGCTGCTTCCCAGTAACTGCATGTTTCTGAGGAATGCGATGCGCTCGCTGTCAACAGAAACTGCCAGAACTTGTTCAGACTCTTGATGTTGGTGTGAGGCCCAAAGATGTCAGATAGAGCTGAGAGCTAATTAGTTGTGCTTTAGAGATGAGTCATGTTGTCCTGAGGAACTTCAAACCAACAGACAAAACAAAGGTCGAGCAACACGTCAAGATTGGATGTTGGTGTATTTAACAACCTGTTCAGGCTGTACAGGGATTATTTGGGGAGGAGGAGGAGGAGTTGGCTAAAAAAACATTGTTAAATCATGTCACTTCATCTTACTGACATCTGTTTTCACTTTGAATCCTGGCTGGTGTCAAAATCATGACAGTTGCAGCAGCAACAAGTAATAACAAGTTGTTCATTAACTGCTCTTTCTCCAAAATAAAGAGAGTAGCTGTAATATTTAACATTTTTAAACCGTTAATGTGATAACTTACACTTCCACTGTTAATCTTAAACACTTCTTCACATATCTTACTCGTGTATTTATGCATTTTCTCATATTCTTGATTATTATTTTATTATCTGTGCTAATGTTTGATACTTTATTGTTTTGATTCTTTGTAACTTAGGAGCAAAAGACTGAACAGGAATTTCCGTCTGGATTTTTAAAGCTCTAAAGTTAAAGGTGCATAATACGTACACATCTGTATTTTTTATATTTCATTTATACTTACACTCTCTTGTCTACCTTTCTTTGACTATTGGCTGCTGAAACAAGTTTATCTCCCCATCATAAAGTTGTTTTTTAATCTTATCTTACAGATACTGAGGTTCAAATTGGGATACACGATCATACTAGTTATACCAGATTAGTGGAGTTGAGATATTGGGGGAGGGTGTTGCAGTTTTTTTAATCAAAGGGAGGGTCTGAGAGAAATATAAAATTCACCTCTGTCTTCCTGTCATGCTGATCCGCTCTCTGTTCCCTCTCAGTATCGTCTCAGCCAGAGGAACCACATCGGGCCCCGGGCTCGGTAGTGATGCTGGCGATGCAACACTACAACTCCTCAGGAATTATGGCCTCCCCCTCCCCCTCTAACGACACCACCATGGTGCGGGAGGCTTGTAATGGCACCCCCCCGACGAGCAACCCCTTGGCTGCAGCCCTCACCATGACTCTGGGCATCTTGTTCAACGTGGTGGCCCTGATCATTCTCGCCAAGGCTTACAACCGCTTCCGTCGCCGGTCAAAGGCCACGTTCCTGCTCTTCGCCAGCTCCCTGGTGGCGACAGATCTGGCTGGACATGTTATCGCCGGAACCCTGGTGTTGAGAATATACTCCACAGTGAACAACTCCACAGTGAACACCACCTCCAGCTGCAGGGACCCTGATGCCTCGTGTCTGTTTTTGGGAAGCTGCATGGTGTTCTTCGGCCTGTGCCCACTTTTCCTGGGTTGTGCCATGGCTGCTGAGCGCTGTCTGGGCGTCACGAGGCCTCTGCTACATGCACGCCTGGTGACCACAGCACGGACTAAAATGGCACTGACCCTCATCTGGCTACTGGCATTATTAGTGGCCCTCCTGCCCTTCTTCAACCTGGGTGCATACACCTATCAGTACCCAGGCACGTGGTGCTTCATCAGGGTGATGGAGGACACTAAAGCCTCGGACCTGGCCTTTGTGATGCTGTTCTCTGGACTTGCGTTGAGTTCTCTGGCCGTGGCCTTTGTATGCAACACCATCAGTGGGATCACGCTGGTGCGAGCCCGGCTAAAGAAGAGGTGCAGCTCCCAGCGCCGCTCGGCCACGTCTAATGACACGGAGATGGTGGTGCAGCTGGTCGGCATCATGGTCACCTCCTGCATCTGCTGGAGCCCTCTGCTGGTGAGTTTGGTTGAAATAATTCCATTTAATAAACATTTGAAGAGGCACATTTGAATATCCCAACATGATGAGATATTCATATTGGATCTGAGTCTGGTTTTTGAAAACACAGATCAGTGTCTTTTTTAAAATGTTTTTAAATGTTACATGTCAATATAGCATCATTAATATTTTACAGTCATACAGAAAAAAAATCCTCAAACCCTCTGTTCAGCTCTGGAATGCTGCGCTGTGCAAGTTTCAAACAAGACGAATGTGTTTCATGTTTCTGCAGGTTTGATATCAGCTGTCACTCAGGACAGGTGAAGAGATTTACTGCTCAGGAAGCTAAAACATCTCCACCATCGTTTCAGGGGCCAGTACTTTAGGTGATTAGCAGCTGACTCACTGTTAAGTGCTTTGGTCAAAAGTTTGATTCCCACAAGAAAATATGAGCCGACATCCAGATGCTCGGTTTGTATCACACTGGATGGTAAATGACAGGAAACAGGAAGTCGTGATAATTACAACCGACTAAAAGCAGCGTCCATGAACAACATTAACCGTGACAGGACTTTATGACCATAATAGGAGTTGGCTCACAGCAGCCGCTTTAAAATGAATTTCCTTCTTTTTAATTGCCGTGTATTTAATGTTGGAAAACATGTTTTACGTCTGAGGATGTTGTTGATGTCCCAAAGCAGCAAATGTTTTTAAGATCCGTTTACTGGAAATATTTTAGATGTATTTTTCCTCATTATTTTATCTCCACTGGGATTTAAGGAAAAAATGTTTGTTTAGTTTAAGAGCGTTTTTTGTAATGTGAGTAATCACACTCCTCAGCTCCACAAGGTTTAAGTATATATATATTAATATGTAAAAAAAAACTAGAATGACACTCACACAAATCTCCACCAAGGCCCCACAGTCTCCTTGTTAAACCATGAATTAACCTGATCCAGACTTTTATTTTAATCTGCAGCAAATGTGTACGCAGTCATAAATATCAGTCCCCTGAACATGCCACATTTTTATTAAATCAAGATCCTTCAATTATTCCCTGGGAAGAGCAGAGAAAACATGGAAAAACTTCTTTGTCTCACAATCGTAAAAGAAATGTGGATCCGCACCAAAATTGAACGACCCACATCACATCCTGTCACGTTAATCCGCTCAGTAGTTTTTGCATAATCCTGACTATAAGACAGATAAACACACGTAGATGAAAACAGAGTTTCTTTAACTTTAATTCGGTGTGAAGATCCTAAAATATCACATGACTGACGCTGTTTCCTGTTTTTTTTTTTTTTTTAAGATCTTTGGAGTGATGTCGGCCATGTGGTCCTACAGAAACCCCTTGAGCAGTGACCGGGACACTTACCAGGCTCTGATGGTGACGGGCGTCAGGATGGCGACCTGCAACCAGATCCTGGACCCTTGGGTCTACATCCTGCTGCGGCGGGCCATCCTCAGGAAGATCTACCGCATCACCAAGAAGCAGGCCAGTTTCAAGGGAAGCACTTTTCGCACCACTCGCTGGGACCTCAGCTCCTTTCAGAACTCAGAGAAAACCAGTGGCAATAAGATGATCTGATGGTCAGAACTGAACCTGGCAGCTTTTCAACCTGAACTGACTTCACGCTCAGAAGGTCCCCCGGTGAGGAGAGATTTCTTTCTGGGCGTGTGGGAACGAGGCCACGTTCCCTTCTATTTATAAGGTATAGACTCCAAGTAAAGCCAGATTTCTGGTACATTTGGTTTGAATCCATTATTTCATCAAATAAAAACAGGTGAAACTTGTTGAAATAATTGTTGACACTGACTCACGATTGGTGGAGTGGCCCCCCCAATACCGCGGCTCCATCTATCACCTGCTGGCGCCATTACCTCTTTGAAACGGATCGTCACTGAAGCGCAATGAATGGAGGGAAGGACACATTTGAAGGAGCCTTAGAATGGGACAGCCACGCCATCTCGCTGTGACGCCATTGACCTTTAAATGCAGCCTCCGAAGGATGTAGCCCATGAATCCAGACCAAGCTTCTGGCTCCAAATACACAAGATGGAAATTGTTAGATATGATGGCTTCGTGTCCGGATAGTGGGAGGAAGTGGAAGAGCGTCGTCCATCTTCATTTACAGTCCATGTATGAAGAGGTTAAAAGGTGGAAACGAGCCAGTGTTAAACTACAGAGGGAAAACGTCCCGGCTCATTCTAAACTGCTGGGAGCGTATTTCACGATGCAACATGTCTCAGATGTGTGTGTGGCAGTCTGTCCTCTATGAGAGCAGATGTAAGTATAAAGGTGCGCGGGAGAACGATGGATTCAACGCAAGTAGAGACTGTAATCGAGTCTTACGGCGAACATATCAAAGTTTCTTTAAATGATTGTTTTGTTCGGTGACAAAAGTCACTCGTGTAAATGCTCAAATGAGAGAGCAAAAGAAAAGGCTGTGCTCTTACCTCAGCTTGAAGATGTGAAAAACACCATTGTGTGTGTCTGCTGGTGTGATGCTGTGATATGAGTGTGTGTGTGTGTCTGTGTGTGTCTGTGTGTGCGTGTGTGTGAGAGAGAGAGAAGTATTTCCCTCACATGTGAGGACTGAAGTGAAACTCTGTGTTACCAAAGCTAACTATTAAAGGTGAATGTAAAATAAATGGTTCTGTTGTAGTTTGTCCGTGGCTTTGGCTCATTTGTTGAAATATTCTGAAACAACTATTTTTAATTGGACATCACGTTAATCTGGCAAGTCGGCAAATATCATACACAAAAATGTAATTCATGCTTCAAACGCTAGTTAGCTAGTCAGTGAATTGGTCAAATCACCAAAATTTAAAGTTTTGTCAATGTGTGAGATGTACAGCTAAAATGTTTAGATGTTCTTTCACCATGGCAGTCAACTTACTGTATGTATAAATCTGTATTTTGACAGTGACAGTGAACGCTTCCTATCAGAAGAAACTAAAATATTGATTTTGTCGAGTCTTTCAGAATTGCACCAGTAACAAGACGTAAGGACTCAATGTTACTGAGGTATGCATGCTGTGGACTTAACTAGTAGGATGCAAACACCTACGTGTAACATAGTGACAGCAGTTCTAGCTATTCCTGGATGTGCTGTTGGAATGGGTGATGCAAGGTGAGGGAGATAAATTGGGATGCTGTGGGAGACATCTTCAGACTTGGGGGTGACAATAGCTCACGTTATGTAACATCCACCGACAGGTTGCTCAAAGATCTGCGGTTCCACGGACAATCCCTGCGACAGACCATAAAAGAAACATCACACACTGCGGAACTCTGCAGCCGGTGGCTCTGGATCAGGAGGGAAGAGTTCTGATCAACCTGCGGTGGGCCTGCCTCAGGAGAGGGTGTCTTGTTATTAAAAGGCCGAAACACCTGATGATGCTAAAGTACACACCTGAAGATATATCCATAACATCTGCTTACATCAACTGGCGGTATGAGCATTAATGTCAATAATTGTAGAACGTACAATGGATATTCTCCATCTTGTCCTATTTTCTAAACTGGGACAGTGTTTGGTTTAAAAAGGCAAAGAGGTAGTGATGTCTGATCGACTGAGGGCCACATGGCTTTCATGGTTCTGCCATACAAGCCCGTAGCCAATCAGATTTATCTTTAGCCTTCGCGTTCCGTCAAGTTCAGTCTGTGTCGTTCATGACAAGGACAACACACAAAACTTTGAAAGTCCGGAATCGAACACTTCACCCCCCCCCGAACATGGAGAACATACAACATAGAGAACATATAACATATAACTATAACATATAACTATAACATAGAGAACATATAACATAGAGAACATAGAACATGGAGAACAGTGAACTTGGAACATGAAGAACACAGAACATGGAGAACATACAACATAGAGAACATAGAACATGGAGAACAGTGAACTTAGAACATGAAGAACACAGAACATGGAGAACATACAACATAGAGAACATATAACATGGAGAACATATAACATAGAGAACATAGAACATGGAGAACAGTGAACTTAGAACATGAAGAACACAGAACATGGAGAACATACAACATAGAGAACATATAACNCATATAACATAGAGAACATAGAACATGGAGAACAGTGAACTTAGAACATGAAGAACACAGAACATGGAGAACATACAACATAGAGAACATATAACTATAACATGGAGAACATATAACATGGAGAACAGTGAACATAGAACATGGAGAACATATAACAGAGAACATATAGAACATAGAACATAGAGAACACAGAACAAATAGAACATAGAACATATAGAACATGGAACATATAGAACATAGAACAGAGAACATAGAGAACACAGAACATAGAGAACATAGAGAACATATAGAACATATAGGACATAGAACATGGAGAACACAGAACATAGAACTTAGAACATATAGAACATGGAACATATAGAACATAGAAAATAGAACTTAGAACATATAGAGCATGGAACATAGAGAACATAGAATATATAGAACACAGAACATATAGAACATAGAACATATAGAACATAGAACATATAGAACATAGAACATAGAATTTAGAACAGATTAACAATTGTTGAAAACCTCAATTGAAAATCTCCATCACAGGCCACGCCCCTGATACCATGCCCTCCGAAGTCGCAGCCAATGGGAAAACAGTATCGCGCAAGCTCTATCCAATCGGCTTCGTCGCTCCTTGTTTCGGGGCGGGGCTTCCACACAGGTTTCCATTTGCGCCCCAGCAGCAGAAGTCTGGAGGAGCAGCGCAGCAGCGTCCGTGAGCCGGTCAGTGACTCGAATCTGTGTAATGTCTTCTGTCTGTGAACACGGGGGTCAGTGCTGGATGTTCTCGCGACACCAGGGACACTAACCAAGCCGGCGCGGTGCGCCCTAGCGCGGGTAGCTCTGAGCAGCAGAGGCGCATCTGTTCGGCTTTGTTAGGCTAAGCTAACACGCTAAGCGCTAACTGTGGCTAATCATTGAATGGGGTCTCGGTGCGGACCCCTCGACCATCTTAGCTGAGAGGCAACACGCTGATGTTTTAGTGGATCTTCTGCTGGAGTAAAGAATCCTCTGGTGTCATTCGTGTGGTTGTGTAACCGTGTCGGGTCGGCGCTGCTCGGGTGGGTGCTGAGTGTTTTTTTTATGGGGGGGGGGGTTTGTTAGCTTGTTAGCTAGCCGTCGCCTGTCAGCTTGAATTAAAATGGCGTCTGTTTTTAAATTCCCCCGATGGAGCGGTGAGGTCCGCGTCCCGAGCTGTTGGAGCTCTTCTTCAAAACCCGACCCTGAAATATAAGAAGCTACGATGCAGGATTAACGTGAGAGTCATTAGCTCCTGGTTTGTTTTGTTGCTGCTGAACCTGTTGGCTTCTGCAACTTGTTGACTGCAACACAAATGGTCGATGTTATCATTGATTCTCCCTGACCACAGTAATATGCAGTCACGTTATTAGACTTTGAGATCAGTCTGATTATTGTGACGTTGCACTCGCTCGTCTCTTTTCTTGGTTAAAACAACAGCAGCAATCTGTGCGTTGTGCACGTGAATCTGTCCGTGACCGCGAAGCTTGGATCAGTAATACAAACACCCGTCTCTGCCTGTGAAAGTAGGGCTGCATTGTGTCCCTGAGGCATGTGATGCTGTGCCAACAACCTCCTTCTGTCTCTACAGCTGGTGACAGCTTTATTTCAGGGAGAGAAAAACAGCCCCCCTGATCATCGGCTTGAGAAATACCCATCGGACAGATTCAGTGTTTTCTGAAATATCTTGTTTCTTACTTTTCTAACCTTTTCAGATTGAATGTTAAATTTTGTGTATGATTTCCCCTCCAGAGACGGACTGCCACATTGTCATCTGCTGCAAGGACGACCTATTCTAACACTGTCCTTCACTGAACATAGCAACAATGGTAATTATATCATTTAAGTCTCAGTTTCATTTGAAGCTGCATATCTGTGTGATTTTCGGACAACAGGCACACTGATCCTTCTGTTGAGTACCACTGATAACAGAGCTAACAAACATGTCACATCTCACAAAGAACTAGTGCCAGTGTTTTGTTCTGCCAGTCTGCCCAGGGCTTTAGAAGCACATGCTGCGCCTTCCACGCCACAGCTCTGCTTTAAATTGGCTCTGGCTGCCTGTGCGCACATTTGCCTTGTGTAATCACTGGTGTTGGAAGCTTGGCATAGACATGAGGCTCTGCTACTTAGCGTTTTTTATTTTAATCAAAGCCAAGTGAGTGACAGAGGAAGTAGGTCTTTCAGTTTAATGATGTAGAACCTTCTAATCTTTATAAATACCTCACAAAGATCTATCACCTCTGCTGCATAAGTCACACAATTTCATTTGCAGTACTGTTGTCGTCTCTTATGACCACAACCTCTCTTGACATCTTAGTCTGTGTCTTGTACTGTCTAACTTCCCACCTGGGTGCCTTTGTCGGGCACCATTTGTGGTATGATTTGGTGAAAACCCTGCCACAACTGGAACCACTTTCTCATTTCTCCTTTATTCGTGATCTTACGTGTTTTCATCACCAGCCTCCCCCGATGCGCCACCGCTCAATGCGTGTCTTCATGAATGATGACCGCCATGTCATGGCCAAACACTCAGCCATCTACCCAACTCAAGAGGAGCTGGAAAGTGTTCAGAACATGGTGTCTTACACAGAGCGGGCCCTCAAGGCGGTCTCGGATTGGCTTGATAAGCAGGAGAAGGGAGTGTCTAAGCCTGAGTCAGATGGCACAGACACAGATAAGGAAAGGTGAGGAGATGTAATTTCTTCTGTTCAGTTAGTAAGAAACCTCTGACCACATGTCCCCTTTTTGTACTTATCCTCTGTACTTATTTATTTTTGAAGTGAGCAGAAAGACCAGGCCACTCGCACTCTGCGAGGTGTAATGAGGGTGGGTCTGGTTGCCAAAGGGCTGCTACTGAAGGGGGACCTGGACCTGGAGCTGGTGCTCCTCTGTAAGGACAAGCCTACGACCAATCTGCTGAAGAAAGTGTCTGAGAACCTTGTTACTCAGCTCAAGGTAAGAACAAACCGCTGGTAATTCAGTGTTCAATATAATGTGATCCCCTTCGTATTAGAGCCTAAGCGGGCCACAGAAGAGTATAAACAATATTCAAGCCAATATCCATTATCTAGTCTGACTGAGCAGATGTGGATTGTGGGTATAAGCTTCTCGTTGGAAGCCCATGTCAGCCGGCATCTACACGATTTAGCTGATCATAGCTGGAGGAGCTATCTTTTACCTTTTATCTGTGAGAGGCTCATCATCCTGCAGATTTATCAGTTCAGCTCTAATTGTCATACCTATCATAGCCGACCCTACACAGTTGATCACTGGCTGCGTGTGTTGACATGATAAAGGAATCTGTTGAAGTGATGGCTTATTGGAGCAGCTGTAGGGTTTGACTTGTTGTTATCATGTGCTGTGATTTCTCATGACTGAATCTTTTCGCAGCTGATCGTAGAAGACAAATATGTGGTGACCCAGAACATCCGCGAGGCGAGTATCATCATCAAGAATGCCAAGGAGCCCCCTCTCACCCTCACCATTCACTTGACTTCCCCTTTGGTTCGTGAGGAAGTTGAGAAGGCTGCCGCCGGTGGTAAGCTCCTGCACAAGGACCATATTGTTGTTTCTCTTCCTTCTTTAGTGGCGTCCTGCCTCCAGCAGGGAGGCCAGGCAGGCAACCAGACTAGACAGATATTGTTTATTGGGCCTTCAATGGAGCTAGGGGACAAGAAATGCACCGTCACATAACCAAACTGTGCTATGCTTATAGCTCTCTAGCCACTCTCGTAGTTCCATGTAATGTAATTGTACATTTTTGATGGCCCAATATACAGTATAGGGCAGGTAGTTTACTGACTGTTGAAGACTTTTCTTCCCCTTGATGATCAAGGTCACCAATGAAATGAAGGCTTACTGAGAATTTAACCAAATACAAAAAGAGAGACCACTTTGTTTGCATGTGTTTTATCATTGATGATGAACGGTTTGCATTGCAGCAAAAATGAGTAGCAAAACGTGGTGAAACTGACTTTGGTTATGAGACCCAGCAGTGGGCTTTTGACTGTCTCTGATGTTCCATAACAGGGAAGGCTCCGGCTTACAGATAACGACACGGGACGTTTGATTCTGCTCCTAAAACTGGGATCAGCCCCAGTTGTTAGGTAGCAGTACAGTTTATGCAATTTGATCGTGTTTACAATATTTTAGCTTTATTTTAGCTGATACAAACACAAAGAACCATTTCCAGTAGTTAATATTCTAGTTGAGAGATCTCAGGAGTCGTGAGGATCTCGGTTGTTGCAGCTGTCAAACCGTGTCCTTATCTTTAGCCCTGTCTGAACAGTGATGCCCAGTTTGGGTCTTGCTCTTAAGCCATCAGTTTTGCTGCAGTGTGGACCTGTTTTGAGACCCACTTTTTGTGCATCTGATAACTTCTGCCTGTGGTTCCAATTCTGATTCTCTCTGTCAAGCCTTCTAGTTTGTCAATTTTTAGGGACGCTGGACCTTTGACCAACTGGCCGCTCTCTGTCTCGGAAGGGGCAAAGTGCAGTGTACCCAGTATAGGGGCGAAGGGGAGGGCCTCTACCTCCTGTTAGCGCTAGAAAAGAAAAGCATTGAAGCGTCCATTTGAGTTCAAGCAATCACGAAGAGACAACCTCCCGTTTGTCACAATCAGATATATTTAACCCATTAAGACCAGAAGCAACAAATGCGCGTTTAAACCTTTAAAACCAGGTGCGATGTTTGCACACTCAGTGAGACGTGAGCATCTCATCCATGATAAAAATCAAAGTGTAGTTCTGTTAGCGCTCTTTTCATGCAATGTTTGTAAAGTAGCGTTTCAGATTATGTCTGAAGAAGTCACATGACATACTGAAGCAGATATCATCGGAGTTGTATTGATGATGAAAATAATAAGGAAGAAGATTCAGACCCAGATGATGTTTCAGTCAGAAAGAGACATGTTTGAGGAGCAGGAAGAAGAAGGGGGGGTGGTTTAGGGGAAACAGCAATGATTTATAATGAAAGCCAAATGTTTAAGCTTTAAAACTTTTTTTATGTCACGTCTCTTTCTGCCTAAGAGGCTGAAAAATAAAAGCTTTTGTAAACGCTAATAAGTTTAAAAGGGTCGATGCTTAGGTTTTACAATGCCTTTCTATTCAGCGCTTTAGGTCTTCATGGGTTAAAGTTCACATTCCTTTTAAATATTAGAGATTCTGTAAATGACTTTCATTTTTTTACTAAAGTAAAGATATAATCCACTTCACAACACTGTTGATCTGGTGGGTTTTAAGTTTAAAACCTGTTTGCCAGCCCGTGCAAAAAAAAAAAAAACATATTGACTGGGAGGTTGGGAGCGTTTGATGGTTCTCCAGTGGAGGGGTCCCCCTCCCCTTCCCCCTCCTGCCTGTGGTTTGGGAAGGCTGCCTGTGTTCCCCCTGGCCGGCTGACAGAACTCCCCTTGGTCAAACTGTACCTTGTCTTCTTATTCCACCTGCCAATAGAAACGCTTTCAGTCAACGATCCCCCGGATGTTCTGGACAGGCAGAAATGCCTAACTGCCTTGGCGTCTCTCCGCCACGCTAAGTGGTTCCAGGTTTGGATCTTGCCTTTATTTGTCTCTAAAACAGAAGTAGTTTTGAGTTTGGTTCTATGTTCCTTTGTCATTTATTTGGGCGTTCAATGTGTTTTTTCTTCTTTTTTTTTTTTTTTTACTCTTTTTGAAGTGCTCCTCCTGTAGTAATACTTGACGATCTGGGTGTTTGTTTCTCAGGAAACCTTTGTCATTACACTGCTGTAGAGTTGCTTTGCTCACTTAACAGGTTTCTACTGCAGTGCCATTTTAAAAGACCGTAATTGCTGCTTTTTAGTCGCCGAGTTCATTAGTTTCACTCAGAAAATCTGGGACTAATACATCACGTGTCCAGGTGCAATATTTCTATTATACAATCATTGGTGTGACTGAGTAATTCCCATATTTATGCAGGTATTTTTTGCTTCCATACTCTGTAGTTTTGAAAAGAGTTCTTTTTTTTTAATAGTGAACCATGTTGCTAATAACTCATAGTACCGTGGCCTGTGTCATCTTTGGCTTTCACACTATAATAATGTTGTGTTCCATCTCTGCAGCTTGTTTTTGTAGTGTGGCCTCAACTTTTCCTGCTCTCTGGCTGTTTCGTTACTGTGTGCTACCAAATCAACAGGAATATTGCACCTCGAGTCATAGTTTATCTTTATTTTTTATTTTTTATTGCCTCTGACTTAACCATTACCCCTTTCAGTGACGGCACTCATCAGCGCGTTCTTATTTGAATAGTTCACTTGGTTCTCATGTTAAACTTGGTCTTAAGTTTGAGGTGATTCAATTGACTCCTTTCCTCTTGATCTTTAGTGATAAGCATGATTTTGTTTTCATTCAAACAAATGTTTTATGTCTGATAACTTCACCATCAATCGTCTTGGCTATTGACCCTACAGCTTTAATTGTGAATGGTCATAAGTAGTGTTTCCCAAAAACTTACCATTATCCTCTGATATCCCTGAATGTCTCCATAATGACAAAGTTAAGCTGTTAAAGTCTGTGTGGCTTCATTTTTATTAATTTCCATTAACTTGGATATTTTGGTGAATTGCTTTATGCCCCACACGCTCTTCCTCTTTGACTAAGGCTTCCTGTCATCCTCGTGCCCCTTCCTCCCCCTCCTCTGCTTGTGTCTCCAGGCCAGAGCTAACGGACTCCGCTCCTGTGTCATTGTCATCCGGATTCTAAGGGACCTGTGCGCCCGTGTCCCCACATGGGCTCCGCTTCGTGGTTGGGTGAGTCCCCTTTACGGCCTCAACACACTAATCTTTGTGAAACTCTGCTCCTCGTGGCTGCTGAGAATAGATGTATATGTAGTAGGGTCTTTTTTTTTTTTAAACTGGTTTGGCTGCTGAGACCATCATAGTCATTTTTATGAACTTTCACACAATCATTTGTCTGCCTAGATACAAAAAAAGCAAGGCACCACCATCACAGTTAAATCACAGCGATGCTATCTAACGCAGTGACCTAGAATCTCTCTGTGCTAGTAGCCGAGCTTAAAAATAGCTTCCTCGAACAACGTCTCCCTCTCTCCCCTGCTGTGCAGCCTCTGGAGCTGATCTGTGAGAAAGCCATTGGTACAGGGAACCGGCCCATGGGGGCAGGAGAAGCTCTGCGGAGAGTTTTAGAGTGTCTGGCGTCAGGAATCCTCATGGCAGGTATGTATGCAGAGCTTCTTCTCCAGGGTTGTTTTTAATTTTGTTAGAATTGCACTGTTGAATCTCATGTTGCATCTTTTTCAAATGAAACTGTCTCTGCGTTGTAGATGCTGCTGGAATCTCTGACCCATGTGAGAAGGAGTCCAAAGATGCTATTGGTCACTTGGACCACCAGCAGAGGGAAGACATCACAGCAAGTGCACAAGTGAGTAAGATACATTCGTATGTGCGCTCGATAAGTGAACGTGAAATTCCCTCCCGCTAACTGTCCGTTGTTTCCTCAGCATGCCTTAAGGTTGTCCGCTTTTGGACAGCTTCACAAAGTGCTCGGAATGGATCCCCTTCCCTCTAAGATGCCCAAGAAACCTCGTAGTGAGACTCCGATTGATTACATAGGTAATTCATATTTAAACACACAGTCAGACTCCAGAATATTTACATATACTTATTATGTTTGTACCTTGTTATGGGAAATAAATTTGTGTTTGTGTTTCAGTGCAAATCCCACCCAGTACGGCGTATGCTCCACCGATGAAGAGGCCCATTGAGGAAGAGGAGGGAACTGATGACAAGAGTCCCAACAAGAAGAAGAAAAAACTGCAGAAGAAATGTAAGTATTTCTTTAAGCTTGAAACACAATTCATCAAATCATTAAAATTCAAATTGAAAAGGTCAGTTTCTTGCTATGGGTCGTAATTAACGTCTCCATTCTGTGCTTTCCACCAGCTCCAGAGGACAAGGCCGAGCCTCCCCAGGCCATGAACGCTCTGATGAGGCTCAACCAGCTGAAGCCGGGGCTCCAGTACAAACTCATATCCCAAACTGGCCCGGTTCACGTTCCCGTCTTCACTATGGCTGTAGAAGTGGACGGCAAGACGTTTGAAGCTTCTGGTCCATCCAAACGCACGGCCAAGCTGCACGTAGCTGTAAAGGTGAGCGCAGCATTTCCAGCGAGGTATTAATTTAAGATTTAAGATTCCTTGTTATTTTAACAGGGTTGAATCTGTGTCTCTTTCAGGTCCTGCAGTACATGGGTCTGCCCACAGGGGTGGAGGTAAAGACTACTGATTCAGTCAAACTAGACGAGACAGAAGCTGTTCTCAAAGTGGAAGAGTTGAAGCCAGTGGTACCGCCCATTGAAACGCCCGCGGCTGCCACAGGAGCAGCCAGTGCAGACGCCACTGATGCTGGAGAGGTACGCAGCTTCTCTCTTTGTATTAGCGAGTGACAGCTGGGTATTTTTCCCTGTAAGGCTGAACGCTCTCATGTCACTGTCTCACTCTCTCAGACTGCTCGCCAACAGGGACCAATCCTGACTAAACACGGCAAGAACCCCGTAATGGAGCTCAACGAGAAGCGCCGCGGACTCAAGTACGAGCTCATCTCAGAGACGGGCGGCAGCCACGACAAACGCTTCGTCATGGAGGTGGAGATCGATGGTCAGAAGTTCCAGGGCACAGGATCCAATAAGAAGGTGGCCAAGGCTTATGCTGCCCTGGCTGCACTGGAGCGTCTCTTCCCTGAGGGCTCTGTGGCCGAGGCTGCTAAAAAGAAAAAGGGACCACCCATGGTAAGCACCGAGGTGGATTCTTCTTTTTTTGTCCAGGCTCAAAGTCATGTGTGCCCCCTTTGCGTATTTAAAGTTGAACTGAAGGTAAATTATTATACTTTAACTGTAAACTGCTTTCAGACGTGCAGTGATTTATCTCCTGAATTCATCAGAGGGGCAGTACGTACGGACGCGGATGCTTAATGTTCATATGTCAAAGGCAAACTCTGCAGAAACCGCATTGTGCGGACATTCTCCAGTGTTCATGTCTTAGAAACAGCTTCACTGTGGGGAAGGAGGAAATATTGCAATGAACAGGTTCTAACTGATGAATGAGCTCCAGTCGTGTCCTCAGCAGCAGACGCGCCGTAATGAAATGTTAATGTCCTCTTCAGCACACTCCAGGTTTTGGAATGATGGGAGCCTCTGGAGGTGGAGACGCAGGTCTGCACAGAGGCAGAGGAAGAGGTGGGCGAGGTCGTGGAAGGGGCAGGGGCTTTAATAACGGAGGAGGCTACGGCCAAGGAGGTGAAAAAGCACACTGTCGACATATTGCCTGAACTGGTAAAGAGTTAGCAGACACGAGTATTTGATTCAAAGCAACATATTGAATGTGTCTTCCTTCCAGGTGGCTTCGGAACATATGGTTACGGGAACAACGCTAACGCCGGATACAGTGAGTATTCATTTGATCTCTTTTAATCCTGGGTACAGGCTCTTCTCTTAGGCTGCAGTTTCATTTACCCTGTGAGAAATCCAGTGAAAGGTCTAAAACACTGGCATGTTGATGTTTCCTGGACCTGCACAGGACTCTGGAACATCTCACCTGTTTTTTTATCAGAGAATGTAACGTAATGCTGAAAACAAAAACACCACCATGTGTTAATACCAGACCCTGTTGGGATGTTCCCAGTTCATATATTTTACATTTCTCTGCTTTAAGCCACAGGATTGAATCTGTTTTTTGACAAGTCCCCTCTTATGAGACACCTTTTCGTCCTTCTGGCAGCCTGTTCTGAGGACTGACCTACCAGAGCGTGACAGGAGCAGAGAAATCTAAAAACCCAACAACTTAGTTTAAATGTAATCTGACCAAACGAGTCATTCAACTGCCAACTTTTTTATGGCAGAAAACAAATCTAATTTTGATATTTTTCCCCTTTTCTCTGCCCCTGTCTCACTCTTTAGGTGACTTTGTCTCAGACTGCTATGGCTACCACGAGTTTGCGACATAGATCTTCCCTCAGTGTTTTAGAAAATCATAAACAATCTTGTAGAGAGGATTAAAAAAAAAAAAAAAGAAATGGACAAAATCCACAATAGCGTTGCAACAGCATCATGAACTCCCTTCACCACCAAGTCCGCAACCCTGGGAATAAAGCGTCAACGACCTCTCCGCCCTGTCTTGCCAATCCACTTGTCACGTTCTGAAGCCTCCAGGAGAGAATCTGTCCCTGCATGCACGTAGCCATAATTCAACTCCTGTTCTCTCAACTTGCCGTGGACGTCCCCGAAACAGCCGGACCTCCCCTGAAGCGCGGGGCTGGTTTACTGTAGAGTGTCTCCACGTGTCAGAACTGCGACATGGCTTTTGTTCCTGGATCAGGATTTGAGTGAAAGCCCGTAGGAGCTGGACAACATACTGCCTTTTGCATATTTGTCGAGACAGCAGCAGCAGCGTGGACTGTCTCTGTCTCCGCGCTGTTTACCGAGATGATGATGATGATGATGATGATGATGATACCGAGAAAAATCTTAGCATGAGTTGTTTTTCTGTTGTTGTCATGCCTTCCTGTCACATGCATTGAGCCTATTTAGTATTTTCTGTTTATATGAAGTTTGCAGTTTCTGTGTGATATCAGCAACACTGTTTAGTCACAGCTACACTGAATGCATGATGGTCTTACTTTGGCAGTATGTGGTTATCGCAGTGTTCCATCTGTAACAGCATCAGACGCTGACGAACTGAGCTTGTTGGCAGGAGGTTTGCACACAGATCTGCTGAAATGGAAAGTCTGATGTTCGATTACCTTTTTTTTTTTTTATGATTTTTGTTTTTTTTTTATAAATAAATGTCACCATTCACTCCTGTCTTACTCAAGGGTCTGAATTTATTAATTAATTACTGTGCCAATATGCAAGCGGTAATATAAAATATAATATATCCCGTTGTGCCTGTTTTAAGACCGTGCTGTTATTTCCCAGGTTACTATAACAACGGTGGCACAAACGGAGGAGCTGGGGCAGCCAGCAGCCCATCGGGTGGCCCTCCAGCCAGCACGCCCCCGGATACGGCGCCGGGCCCCTACGGTTCGTACTACCAGACCGAAGGAGGCTACGCTGCCACTGCTGCCGCCAAGGCCCCGAAAAAGAAACCCCCCATGCACAAGGGAGCGAAGGCAGCATTTCCAGGTCCCCCGGGGACAAACAGTGTATCTGCAGGGGGCTACCCGTCCAGCAGCCCCCCAGGGCAGGCTCCCTATAGCCAGTATAGCCAGGGTTATGGGCAGGGGAAGAAGAATTTTAACCAGAACCAGGGTGGAACAGGTGGATACATGTACAGCACCGCCTATCCCAGCCAGGTGACGGGGGGCACTGGAGGGAGCCAAGACTACAGTTATGAAGGTGAGTCCAAGGACGTTTCTTCATTCAGACATTTCCTCGAGTGTTTCCTATTTTCCTCTTGACAACAGCATCAAGCTTATTATTAGAGTCCTTTCTGCTGACGAGCACAACGGAAACGCTTTCCTGTTCCAGCAGGAGTTTCCATCTGCCCACGGAAACCAAAACCACCACGCGGCTTGCTGACCACATTACTGTGCTTGATTGCTCAGCCAACTCGCAGTTTCTGATTTCTAATTCCTGTTTTGATTGACATTTGGAAATATTTGAATATTTAGAGAAACTGGATTTCTGATTTTCATGAGCTGTAAGCGTTTGTGATGGAAATCTGCTGGAAGCTGGTTGAAAGGAAAGAACTCAGGCTTGATGCTTCAAAGAAACCAGAAGGTGGATCAATAAATTCTCACCCACTGGAGAGAACGGAGTATGTGTGGAGTGAGAGTAGTGTCGGGGTCCGTTCTTGTTTCGTTCCACCAAATCATAGCCAGGTTCTTTATTAAGATGTGTGTCTGATGATGATGATGAAGTTTTGTGGTAGAACTTGTAAATACATGTGCAATAATGAGACTCCCACATTTAAAATATCTTAAAATGCATTTGGTTAAAATTCAGATTTGTGAAGAAATGATATTCTTATTATCCAATATTAAATTACCTTGAGCAACTTCATGTCATTTTGATTTAATTTAATTTCTATAATCTTATTTCACTCTCTCTTTCCTGTTAGGCTTCAACCAGTCCACTTACAGCTCACAGGGAGGAGGAGGAGGAGGCGGAGGAGGCAGCGGCAACAACAACAACAACCCGGGCTTCGGCAACAACCACTCACAGTACCACAACCCAACGGGCTACGGCAGAGGAGACGGAGGCATGAACTACCAGTACAGATAGACTTTGCCTCTGTGTGTGAAGCCTTCTCCAAAGAAAGTGATTGACGGCTTGACTGTGCGCGCTGCCTTTTACATGTTCTTCGCTTCTGTGCTTTTGAGTTTATATGTAGCACACGTGGGCACAAAGTGAGATGTCAGACCCGGGTCGTGGCTAAGTTTAGTGGTCTGTTTCAGTGGTCTGGTCAGTTCTTAGTCCTGTGGTTTAAGGTTATTCTAATTTAGTTTTCTATTTTTAAATGTGCTACCAGTCGTCATCCTCATCACTCAACATGAAGACTGATGTTACAAGTTACTCACCTCCTCTGGTTTGGTTTCTTTTCTCCTGAAGACTTGTGTGAACGAATAATCTTTTCTCATATGGAATTAGTAAAATCTTGTAGTTTGAAACTACGAAGGTTGTTGTATTTTTTGTAACAATTCTACTGACCCAAGTTCTGATGTTTTATCCTCATCTCTGCTCAGTGTAGCTTTTTGATTGGGTGGGATTTGTTCTTGTTGTATGTATAACAGTGTGTATTAATAAATGATTTTTATTTTGAATGGAGGTCTCAAGGGTTTGTGCCGCTGATACCACCGTTGATAAGTGGTTAAATCTATGGCCTGTTAATGAGAAAGTTTCCTCAAAGAAAGGGTAAGTGAAAATACTGAGCAACTTTTTATATAGCAGCTTTAAACAGTGATTAGGTGCTGTACAAGTAAAATATGAGAAACAAAAAAACTATGTTACAGATGAGGGAAGAATAAAACCAATCAACCAAAACATAAAATTATTTAAACATTTAGTTGGATCAGAA